AAAAAGTATATATTTTGTACAATTTATTTAAAATTATTGTTTTAAAAAAATTAAATCTAAACTAAATTTTTATAAATAAAAAAATTATATAATTTTAACGAAATAATAATTTTGTCAATTAAACATTTTTTTCATCATATCATATCATTATCTAGTTTATGTTGAATGCAGCAACACATTTGTACAGGTAGGGGGGTTCGGCCACCACCCTATCGGCCGCCGAATGGCAGAACCAGGAAGTCGAACGCCAATCGGCCATCAGGATCGGCCTATCATCATTTGGTACTCTTAATCAAAGATTAGGGGTTAATTAGTCGATTAAGGTGTATTACCTAATACGGTAAATATGTTGCAGGGCCCATGGGGTCCAGGGCCCATAAATGTCAGTATAAATAGCTCAGGTCAAAAGGTAACGTCACTGTTCATTAATTACCCTAGATATTCGTGCTTGTCCTGACTTGAGCGTTGGAGTGCCTTTTGCATGTACCAACCCCTTCACCAGCGTATTGGATCGGAGCTCTCGTTCGGCCTTTAGACTACTAAAATACTTAGTGTGCCCATCAGACAGGTACATTTTGGCGCCCACCGTGGGGCCGAACTGAGACGTTTGTGAAGATTAATTGAGCGAGACAATGGCGATAACAAGGAGAACGAACACGGTAGAACAACAACCTGAGGAGGAACATGTTGAGGTGGTGGACGAGACCGATCTCTCTGAAACTGTCCGTCTATTGAAACAGGAGATGGCCGCGATGAAACAACAGCGGGAGAAGGATGCAAAGGAGCTTTCAGCCTTAAGAGCCGAAAACGAGGCACTGAAAAATGATCCGTCATGGAAACCCACTCAAGTGACCAACACGCAAACCCAGGGGTCCTATCAATCTTATGAGGTCCATACCTCGGCTCCTCATGCCTCGACAGCAGCACCTCCAAGAATCCCTTCGGCTCAACCTACTGTTGGTCGTCCTGCAGACTTGGCCACTATTAGATCGCACAGTCACCCTTTTACCCCCTCCATTATGCAACTCCCTTGAATGGATAACTGGAAATCCTTGCCCATTGATAAATATGATGGTACAACAGATCCTGATGAACATCTGGATGTTTTTTGACGCAGGTGACGTTGAGCACAACTGATGATGCTGCACTGTGCCGGATCTTTCCAACGTCTCTCAAAGGCAGAGCCCTGAGTTGGTTTACTCGGCTCCCTCCTAACTCTATTGACTCGTTCAACACCTTGTCTGCTCAATTCACCATTCAGTTTGCAACGAGTCGCCCTCACAGCTTGACATCTCTATCTCTGGTCGACCTTCGGAAAGACAAGAAGGAGTCACTTCGAACTTTCATGGATCGGTTTAACAAGGCAGCATTGGAAATCCGAGACCTCAACCCTGCCGTGGCACTCCATCACCTCACAACGGCATTGAAGCCAAGGCCGTTCGTCAACAGTATTTGTAAGAAACCCCCTTCGGACATGAATGATCTACGAAGGAGAGCCGACAAGTATATGCAAATGGAAGAGTTGGCGGAATATCGTAATCAAGCACGAGCTGAACCAGTAAATAAGACAGAAAAGCAAACCGAACAACCATTCAGAGGCCGAGGCAAAGAAATAGCACTAAGAGATCGGCCCGTGTGTGGGCCGAAATACTCTCATTATACACCCTTGAACACCAGCAGGGCAGCAGTATTAGAACAAGCTCTCGCGTCCGAAGTACTGGCAGTTCCGAAGAGAGCTTCTACACCACCACGTGCTGATACCAACAAGTCTTGTAGGTATCATCGTAATCGTGGTCATTCCACCGAAGAATGTGTTGCTTTAAAGGATAAGATTGAAGATTTGATTAAACAAGGCCAACTGCATAATTTCGTTGATCGATCAGGCTCATCTCGGCCTCACTCTTCATACCAACCTCGGCACCAGGATCGGCCTACACAGAATCGTTTTGATAGGCCTCGTCGTGAACGAAGCAGGTCGAGAGACCGGAAGGACGACCCGGCACCTTCGCATAGGAGAGTCATTAACACAATCGCAGGTGGATTTGCGGGCGGGGGCTCAACTTCTTCAGCCCAAAAAAGGCACCTGCGAGCCATCCGATCGGTTCACGCTGTTGATAGGCAACCTTCACGAAGATTGCCAACTATAACTTTCACTGATGCTGACTTTCAAGGCATTGATCCAGTGTAGGACGATCCAATGGTGATCAATGTAGAAATCCACAATTGTATAGTCAAGAAAACATTGATCGACCAGGGCAGTTCGACGGACATCTTATATTGGAACACCTTCAAACAGTTGGGTATCTCCGAAAAAGAGTTAATCCCTTATGATGATCCCTTGGTTGGCTTTCCAGGCGAAAGGGTAAGCACCAAGGGGTATATTAAAATTTTCACTCGTTTTTGTGTTCACGAGCAGGAAAGCAGGGAAATTCAAATAAAGTATATTGTGGTAGATGCTAACACATCTTATAACATCCTCCTCGGCCGGCCGTCATTGAACATGCTAGGGGCAATTGTTTCAACACCGCACCTAGCAATGAAGTTTCCATCCGATAAGGGAAAGATCGTTACAATCCACGCTGATCAGAAAGCCGCACAAGAGTGCTATTTCGCTAGTTTGCGATTATCTCCTATTGAAGAGAGAAATTCAAAGTCCAAGAGAGTTCATGCTGTTGACCCTTCGGCGTCGGTGGAGGGACTAGTTTGGGACCTTGACCCAAGAATGAATGACGAGGAACATGTAGAGCCAATTGAATCAAAGATTCAGCTACAAATCGAGTCGCATCCAGCACAAGCCACATACATTGGGGCCGATATATCTGAAGAAGATCGTTCCACCCTGTGCCGGATAATAGTGAAAAACAAAGATCTTTTTGCATGGATACCTTCTGACATGCCTGGCATAGACCCGAATGTCATGTGTCATAAATTATCAATTTGTGCCGAAGCAAGACCGGTTGCTCAGCGTAAAATGAAAATGGGAACGGATCGGAAACTTGCAGTTGAGACAGAGGTTGCCAAGTTACTTGAAGCCAGGTTTATTCGGGAAGTTCACTACACCACTTGGTTGGCAAATGTCGTAGTGGTGAAAAAGCCGAACAGAAAATGGAGAATGTGTACTGATTACACTAACCTCAATAAAGCGTGCCCAAAAGATGCTTACCCACTCCCGAACATCGATCGGCTAGTTGATGGTGCCTCTGACCACAAAGTCCTCACTTTTCTCGACGCTTATTCGGGGTATAATCAAATCCCCATGCATCCCTGCGATGAGGAAAAGACAGCCTTCATAACTGACTCGGAAAATTATTGCTATCAGGTAATGCCCTTCGGGTTGAAAAATGCAGGCGCAACTTATCAGAGGTTGATGAATAAACCTTTTCGACACCAACTCGGTAGGAATATGGAGGTGTATGTGGACGATATGGTTGTCAAATCCAGAGACCTTGTGCAACACGTAATTGACCTTTCGGAGGTGTTCCAACAGTTGCACAGATATGATATGAGGCTGAACCCTGAAAAGTGTGTATTTGGTGTATCAGGTGGAAAATTCCTCGGCTTTATGCAGTCGGCAAGGGGTATTGAAGCCAATCCTGATAAATGCATGGCAATCATCAACATGGTGAGTCCCCAGAACCTCAAAGAAGTTCAAAAGTTAGCAGGATGGCTCACAGCTTTGTCAAGGTTCCTCTCATGTTTAGCCGAGATAGCGAAACCCATCGTTGGATTGTTAAGAAAGGTGAAAAAGTTTGAATGGTCGATCGAATGTGAAAAAGCGTTTCGGACGTTGAAGGAACGTCTCGGCTCTCCTCCCATCCTTTCAAAACCTGCTCCTGAGGTTGATATGGTGGTCTATTTATGTGTATCGAATGAGGCAATCAGCGCCGTTTTGATTCAAGAGAAAAGGGGGCAACAACCCATTTATTTTATTAGTCGCATGTTACAGGAGGCCGAGACGAGATATCAGTTCCTAGAAAAGGTGGCGTTAGGACTTCTTCACATTGCTCGACGCCTCAGATAGTATTTTCAGAGTCATCGTGTCATAGTTCGAACTGACTGCCCGATCGCCAAGGTTTTGCGTAAACCAGAATTAGCAGGGCGGATGATGGCTTGGTCGATTGAACTATCAGAATTCGACATTAGTTTCGAACCACGGGGTCCGGTCAAGTCTCAATACTTGGCGGATTTTGTTAATGAATTGCAGCCGAAGGGTCACTTTCTGAGTGATTTGTGGACTGTAGACCCCTAAAATTGTCCGGGTCGGAAATAAAGCTCAAAGACTCTCGAAGACCGAAGGAAAGTCAGCCGGAAGGACTCCTGGAAGACCCTAGGATGATTCTTTGTAGGTCTAGAAGTCTTAGAGTAGCTTAGAATAAGGGTGTGCGAGGATTGGAGCTCAATACACCCTCCCAGAGGTTCAGTACGGCCGTACTGAGCCATTTGAACTGCAATACGGCCGTAGTGAACTCAATACGGCCGTACTGAAGTTT